CACCAGGAAGACCCAACGAAGTGAACGACGCAAACCGATGTTAAGATCTATAAAGCGCCTGCCGAACGTAGCAATTGGCGAACCGTTTGCGGCTCGTAGTTGAAGAGACATTGGCCGCCTGCGCTCCTCTACTGTGGGTGGGATTACACTGACCTCCGCTCCGGTATCAATTAGGAAGCGTATCCCAGTGTTACGGTCGGTAACATAGAAGAGGCGACATGAGAGTGGTTCGCCAGCGACGTTAGTCGCCAGTACGTGCTGGCTTGCTAGTTTCCCGATTGTTGAACATCGAAGGTGCACGGGCGAGTGCACTTTTGGGCTTTTGCTCCGTAACGTCGATGATACCAGCACACTCCAGGCTGGTTACTTCGGGACTGTCGGCGCTTGCTGCTAGCACGTGGCAAGGGTCTACTACTACGCGAACTCGAGGGACTGCGTCCACGACTCCTGGAGTTCATCTCCTGTCGTATACTACAGATCTCCTCGTATAGCTTGGCAATATGGGCCACCGCGTCAAAGCTTGATGACCCCCCATCAGCCATCTTGCACACAAGAAAAAATATTAACAAGGTGATAAAAAACCAATATAAGTACACACAAAACAAATCAAATCTTTATAACCGTGCGTGAAGGAAAAGAAAAAAATAACAAAATAGACGGTACGTAAAAAGAATTGTTAACACGTTAAGCTACTATGGCGGAAAACGGTGAAAACGGGCTCACCACTTGTAAGTGTTGAGGCTAGACTTAAGATAGTCCTCGATATCACCACACTTACTAAAAACTTCACCGTCTTATGACTTTACCAGTACTCTACCTAACGTGTAAGTACTGATTAACTCAATCAAAGTTTAAAAGCTAACAATGGAAAGAATTCTTAGTATGAGTTGTATTTAACGTAACTGAATAACAGATTTAATAAATAAAGTGACTGTACAACTTAGCTGCAGACGTTGCTGGAGGTAGGCTCGGAGAGTGTGCAGAAAGAGAGCACAACAAGAGAGCGAACCAATGAACGTAAGGAAGACTCACAACTCAAAAGATAAAAAGTGTATCACCGTGTATGAGCGAGTTTAAACAAAAGTTCAAAGGTACAATGTGCACTACATATGAATGAGCAATAGTCTAGGAGCGATCGAACACAAACCTTGTTTAGTAGTATTCTGGATTTTTTTCTGTTGAAGTTCCTGAGAAGGAAACCATTAAGCCTGCTTGATTTCGTTACTTATTTCAAGATATGCTCCGAGAATGGTCGATTATGTGAGCATTTTAGCCCTAGGTCTAGTAGAGATTTGAGTATGGGGATTTTATGGCCTTGAGTTGCTAGACGGAGTTTTAGGTTGGAACAGCCCATGCAGAGCCAGCCACGCTTTTCAACATTAAACTCCACTCTGCAGGTGTCACACTATCTCTCCATTTTCATTAATTCTTCATGTATGGAGTTCACAGTTGTGCCGATATCTGGATTTGTGTATGTACAGGTCACCTTTAAGTCATCCGCATACAGTATTGGTTTGCCTATACTAAAGCACTCGCATATACTGTTTATGTATATAATGAAAAGGAGGGAGTGTAATGCACTTCTCTGGATTACACCACTTCCAATTGGTCGAGGCCTACGCTACAAGTGTTTACAGATAATTGAATAGTAGCAGTCTGTGAAAAGAGGCGTGTATGGAGGTAAATTTATAATTCTCCCAATCTGTAAAAGTAAGATACATTTGACGATTAAAGCAAGTATTATAGCCTTCAAAGTATTGGCCATTGTCAACTTACATCCCAGGAAGGTTTAGAATTGTTGGTTGCATACCGTGAGCACTGATAAGTGGGAACTGGAATAAACGGGACTCAATTATTTGTCTCGCCCACACCATAGACAACAATTAACGAATAAGTGACTTCTGATTATGAGGATTTAAAAACTCATGCAATGCTGCTGTCTGAAAATCACAGGAGTTTTTAAGACAGTGTTTGTGAACGATTTTAGGATATTACGGACTTCCCAAGAAGCATCTAGAGGCCTAAATGTCTGCATGTTTCATACACTATATTTAAACTGTATAAAGCCTCATTTAGAACAAAGAACGAAGTAGGGTTCTTTGTTTCATATGACAGAAGGGGAATATTTTGAAGAGTTCAGCGAATGTGAAACAAATTAATCAGGGGATTCACAAATCTCTTATAACATGAAAAACTTGATCAGTTAGTTCTATTTCCATTGTCATGTTGGTGAATGAGACAGGCTCTCATAAAATTTTTTAGTTGCTGATTTAATAACTAAGGCCCGAATTAGCCATTCTTGTTCCTCCCTTCAAGAGGAGACTACTTGTGAGAAAACCACTCTGAAGTCTGTCTGCTTTATTTGACTAGTGAAATCGTCAACTAGAGAACACGCTTACATTAATTCTTCATTAGAAAATGCTTGAGACGCCAAACCCTCAACCGAAACATCTGAACTCCAACATTTAATGTTTGCCAAACGCCAAAGCATTTTTACAATATGTTGCGCTACGTTTACTCGCATGTAAGTTACAGATATAACTGCGCCCATTGGAATAATAAGAGAATTGCTCACACTGAGAAATAAGAAATTTTTTTGGGAGTGTGAATAAAAATTACATTAATTCGACTTTATCATCAGTGGTTGATTCACAGTCATGATATCTGACCATCAAAGGTAATATATTTCCGAGCTGAATAGGTCGATAATTTGTTTAGCTTATAATTTTTTCAACGGCATGTTAATTGAAAGGAATAGGCTAAATCCTATTTAGCTAAGTATAGCAAAAATGGTGTTTTACTGGGTAGTAGTTATGCGAGACTAGAGTCGTCTTTTTATGGAGAAAGTATATAGCGGAATGCGATTGGTTGTCGAGGTGGAAGTGTTGCAACTTTGAAGCAGTGAAAAGAAATGAAACTTTTTTTCTTCATCAGGAATTGCAATTTAGTATTAAGATATTTTTTCAGAGTTTTACTTGATTTTGAAGTACCAGCTTACTGTTTATTTGGGTTTGTGGTAGTAGAATCAGTAGTCTACAATATTCCTCCGAATTCATTCAGTTTTTTTAGTGGATTTCAAGGTATTTAAATGAATCAAAAATTTATATTTGCTTTTAAATCAACATTGACTTCCTTTTTGTGGTTTCCATCAGAATAATGTTGCTTCATATGTGATACATTCACTGTAACTAGCAGTCGATTTAAACGGCAAGTAGTTCTATATGATATAACCGGTAGACATACTGTGTTATTTGTTGACGGTGTTTTGAGCACTATTTATTGATAATAGTTATATCAAGATACTAACAACTGTCAGGTTTTGTCCGTACAGTTTACTTCTTTTCCACCTTTTTCTTTCTTAGTAACAATATTTTCCATATTTTGGGTATTAGTATTGTATCATTCCTGTCGAGAGTATTAGGTATGAGTTTCCAATATATCCAATTATCCACTATCGTTTTTACGACCTAGTATAAACCAATTTGATTTCTTTGTGCTCGTCTCTTGATTGTGAAGTATGGGTTCCCGATCTTCGGTATACTCCTGAGTAGCTCGTCCCGCCACTCGACTGTCGTAGCTTTGGTTGTCTCCTAAAAGAGTAGTGCTGGGATTAATTATGTGTTTTGTAAATATGAGGCGTGTTAAGACTGTTACTAATGTGAATGGAGTTGATCCTATCACCAGTTAGTCCTCCGGTATCGTCGACAAGGGAAAAGAGATAATAATAATAATTATAATAATAATAGATACAAATAGCGAAGTTATTCAGACTAACAGATAGAAAAAGAAATAAAGAAAACTTAACAACGGTCAGTTGATTAAATTTGATGAATAATATATATATATATACATATATATATATATATATATATATATATATATATATATATATATATATATTGGTGATTATGATAATAATGTGTAGTTTAAATTGTCAGGAGAGTAAGACGGGAGAGAAGGTAAAGAAGTAAAACGACGAATTTAATTGTCTACCCCTGAATGGTGTATGGGATTTCAAGGGGATAGGCCATTTGGACTCAGTCGTTGTGTCGCTGCATGTTTGTCCAGCCTTCGCTTAAATGCGTCCATAGACAGCGCCATAGCTACATCTGCCGGTAAGGAATTCCAGGGACGGCAAACTCTAAGTGAAAAGAAATGGGAGCGCACCCGGCTTCTTGGCCTCTTGTGAGTTATCCTTCTGGGATTTCCACGAGGAAGCCTATACCTACTCAGAGGCAAAGCTTTTGTTTGCGTGATTCTGGTCATTTGTTATCTTGTCGGCAGTAATCAAATCCCCCATACGCCGACGGTAGCTAAGTGTAAATAGGCCTAATTTCTTTAGCCTTTCATCATATGATTTATTCAGTGGTCAATGTCTTCATCCATTTAACTATATTGTTTGTATTGCCGTAGCTCTCTCCTGCAGTACTGTGTGTTAGAGAATACATAAATTATGATTACTGGGGTATTTCGTGAGTTGGTCATTAATCGAGAGAGACAGTCATTCTTCATTTAGATAAGCAAATATCATCGATGATAATGTTAAAGAGAAATAATGCACAGATGGGGCAAACCTATCTAACCCCTATGTTGGTTGACAACAGTGGCGATAGCTGGTTGCATGCCCTCACACCCACTGGCCCGTTTCGGCATAAGGCTTTCAGGATGACGACGATAACAAACTTCACAGGTACACCTCTGTCTAACCGAAAATTCCAGAGAGGGAGAGAGAGCACTTCTATTAAAAGAATCGAAGTCAGCACTAATATCAATAAACACAATGATTGTTTACCTGAAGTATGTGTGATGGTGTTCCAACAACTGACGGAGTGTGAACCTGTGTTTACTGTATCGGTGGCACAGTGGTTAGGACTACCGCCGACCATGCACATGGTTCGAGGTTCGATCCCCTGCCGACGACTCACACCTGATATCTATGGTCGGCCTGCAAAATTTGGGCTACCGATATCCATGCTGAAAATTCCATACTTGTACCATAAATACAGTGTGGAATCAAGCTGTAATCAAAAATAAAAAAAATAAAATAAAAATAAATATTATGCATTTCGTGTACTTACTTCCTTTGCTTTGTGTGCTACATGGGGTGTGGCGACTTGAACTGCTGCACATCGGTGCGAAGTTCTATGTCGAATACAGGCAGACAGTATTGAGAACAACACGATAACATCAAGTTTAAAGTAACCAGTTGCCTTTGTTAAATAAAACAAGTCAATAAGGAGACTTTAATCATGTGAAACGTGTAATGTACTCTGTGAAAAACAAATTTCCGACATTCTGATCACACCCACATACTTGTAATACACACTTGCATAGAAGATAATAGAAGGCAAATGATTACAATATAGGTCATATAGATTTTTCAAATTGTGCTTTGATTTGAAATTCTGAAAAAGACTTTAATCCATTTGATATGACTGGTTTCTCTAATGCGAAAGGTGTTACGACAGATAGGTTGATAATATTTTCCTGAAAGAACTTGAAATCCATGCACAATTTAAAATTTTATATGACCAACTAAAGACTCGTGTACGCGTTTTTGATGATCATCACAGTTGGTTCAAAGTAAATTTAGTGGATACTGCTCACCAATTCTGTAATGGCCGTATAGCTCAGAAAAGTATCTTAACATCTGAACAATTTAAAACTCTAAAAGAACTAAAGCACAATAATGGCATCGTTCTGGTTCTCAAACCAGATAACAGTTCTGGTATAATTGTAATGAACGAAACTTGATATATAAGTAAAATGTTATGTATGCATCCCCTTGTAAATAAGGACGAGAGGTTCCCGAGCTCGTGATCATCTACCTGTGTGGTTAAATTAAGGTGTAGTTAGAAGCATCAATAGCTCCATATTAGAACACCTGGTCCAAACCGCCCACAAAGCCAATAACGAGAAGTCCTTTTCCATCATCCAAACGAATTGCCAAAAAACATCCAGGTACCGAAGACTGCAAACAGCAGAGGCTATCGCGATCCGCCTGAGACAACCGGTGCTCTGTGTGTAGAAGAAACAAGTCCAACCATTAGTATTGCCCTGGCCTGTTGTAGAGTTTCCAAATTCATAAACACCTTATTACATCGGCCTTTTGATATGACCCTCCATCCTGTACATATAAATTCCCCTACCCACTTGTCATTACACTCACATTAACTAACCTTTTGTTTTCTTATTTAGACGTAGTTGTTAACTTACACACTGGCACATACAAAGCGTATAAAATTCAACTCCAAAAGTCTTATTTTCACTACCCTCGTCCTTGACATGATCACTCATCCATCTGGAGTTTATTATCAATATGAGTAAAATTTAATATGAACAAAACCCATGAAAATTACTACTATACATTCGTTGTCAATCATAATCACTTACTTTGTAAAATTGGTTCACTTTAGTGCTGCAATTTTACATATTACCACATACACACATATATTTTGGACAATAATCTATTAACAATCTAATTGCAAATAACGTTTGTAATTCTGATCTAAATGGTTCGACGTTACTGTTTAAAAACCTACCAATGTTTTCAATAACTATCACTCCTTCATTACTATGGATGCCTTTAACTGTAGAACCTGATGATGAAGTTATCGAAAAGAATATTCTTTGTTCAATAATCAGTCTTTTGTAATTTCGAATGGACATCTTTAATCAATTTAAAAGAAATAGTAATAAAACTATTGATCATAACACGAATAAGAAGTTTACGGCATTAGGGATGTATTGAGCTTGGGTCCACACTCCGTCAGTTGTTGGAGTACCATCACACATATTTCGGGTCAACAACCATTGTGTTTATTGATATTAGTGCTGACTTCGATTCTTTTAATAGAAGTGCTCTCTCTCCCTCTCTAGAATTTTCGGTTAGACAGAGGTGTACCTGTGAAGTTTGTTATCGTCGTCATCCTGAAAGCCTTATGCCGAAACGGGCCAGTGGGAGTGAGGGCATGCAACCAGCTATCACCACTGTCACCAACCAACCTGGTAGTTAGACAGGGTTGTCCCATTTCTGCGTTATTTCTCTTTAACTTTGCCAGCGATGACATTTTGAGTCAGTTCTGAAGGACTTATGTAGAGGTGTAAACCTGCATCCTGGAGGACTTTTCCGCCTCTAGCATGCAGACGAAATCGTCTGACTGTGCAATAGCCTGTTGGCTGCCCAATTCACAGTTAATGTGTTGGCGATCAGTGTCTGTAAATATGGTGTGTGCGCTTTGCGCTGTCTAATTGTAGAGTGGTGTACTCACCCTTGTGAGTGAACTTCATAAACATGTGTTGTGTCAAGGGACGTTTACATAAAGATGGTCATACACACTAATTGTTTAGACGTATTGGAAGGTTCGTTTCATTTATTTATTTATTTATTTATTTCGAAGAGTCGTAACTCTGGCTATGTATGACTATTAGGTTGGTCGAGATATTCTAATTTTTAGGGTGTGTGTTTATATTCTCTTTTCATACTGGCGGATAATGTTGCCAATTAAAGTTAAGAATCGATTATATGTAACAACGTTGCTAACTATGTACGTTGATATAATCCTGAAGACTGACAAATGCGCATCAGTTTTTTGAAACCGATCTACTATTTGACACTTATTACTCTGTCAGGAACTACTCACTACCGTTGTCTTTTCTCTATCTGATTCATTCAAATTATGTCCTATCTGTTTGTATTATCATGTTTCAAAAAAAATATGGAACTCTCCATTATGTTCTGTTATGTAATTGAACTTAAGATACGAAGTGATTATCAGCAAGGCAAATGTTAGTAAATGCCAGCTATACTGACTATTCCTTGTATTTCGAGTAGAACATCGGACTTCATCGACACCATTGCACTCGGTTCTCTGCCATAACTTTCAAATTACTCCATGAATACCCAAAATTTTTGTGATCTTCTTCATCAGACGCCTAAGTTGTTCACTCGTAGATCTTCCTACTCTCTTCTCTTACCTAGTACTCAATATTTTTCACCTTATTTTGCCACTTCACACGGGAGATAGAACGCAGGCACCTATGATCCAAGACAGCTGATCTTTTCATGTCTTCCACTCTCAATGGCCAGGTCTCACAGCTGGCCATAAAGGAGGATGGAGTGGACTGCTGAACAGTACACTCGCCTTTGGTCAATAGCCGGATATCACGTCTACGCTAGAGACACCGTAAACTGGCATATGCAAAACTAGCCCTCTGTATCCGTGCTGAGATTTCGTCAGAGATCAACTCGTTGGGGCTGATGGTGAGCGAGCATGGGATTAATTATCGAATGTTGGTTTGCAGTGATTTGATTGGTTACAGGTGTCTAGCTACTAGCTTGTATCATTAGGCGGTTGCGTGTTGATTTTTGATGCCTTCATTCTGTTTAAGAACACAATATTCTTCGAAGAGACACTCACCAACAACGAGTTTATTATCAAGCTGTACAATCGTATGTGTACACATATGGCTTTTAAGAAATTATATCCAGTGAGGAAATCACTTCAAAGGTGTGAATAGATGAAATAATAATAGTAGCAATAGTATGAAATGCAATTAAAATATTTGTGATTATAATCACAGTTAAATGTCAAGTCGCAAAACAATTAATGTCATATATAGAATAATGCATAAGACGGGTGTATAGATGTTGTTTGGAAGGGGTGCATAATCATAGAACTAGTAGACGAATATAAAATGTTACATAACATGGTGTGAAATTTGATAAGATAGTATTCAAAATTGTAAAAACACATTTTGTATTTCGAATGACAAGTGTGATAAGTGGAAACAATTCAGAGTGAGAATAGTAATAACAATAATAATAAGAATTGAAGTAATATGGGAAAGGTACATAGGTTAACTAAATAAACAAAATAAATAAATGTCTATAAATGCGATTGTACAGCTATGTGAATGAATTCGCCGTCGAAAAGAGTCTCTACGCTGAACGTCTTCTCTTTTTCATATGACTGAATGGGGATTTTCAAGCTACTTAAATGTCTATCCCTTTACGGCCAAGGCAGAAGTGGGGACTGTACATACTTCTTTTGCACACAAAAGTCTGTCTTAAAGTCATGAATTGTCAAGGCATCCTCTGTCTTTAGAAGTCTGTAACGAAGACAACGCCGCCAACAGGTTAGCATGGATTCGGTAGATGATCTTAAAATCATATTCAGGGTTGTCAGAGTGATAGAAGTCGATCAGGTGTTCTAGAACAGAGCATCGCACATCCTTTGTTTCTCCCTTGTAAAACCATGCTTCTGGAATGTTCTCATATTTTTTATGGAAAGCGTTCTCTGGCTACAGCCAATGTACCTTGCTCGTCAAAAAGAGCAGGTGAACTTATAGGTGCACATGGAGACGGTCAGACGGGGGGGGCGGAGAGTTCGCCTTGTAACTGAAAGATCCTGTGGTTCTAATCCTGGCTGGTGTGTGCTAATGAAGGATTCAAAGCTAGGGCTAAACAAACAACTTTCCAGTGCCTTTTGGTTTTCTAATACTCCTCTAATACCGATATCAACTTGTATTCAAAATTGAAACCAGTCAAATTTCCCCGACACTTGCAAATTTTAAGATTTTGTCAGAATCATCTGTTTTTACGAGTTGATCACGAATTGATATCAGTTAGAGAAACATTGAAAATAAACAGGCAGTACTAGACAGCTGTTTCATCCTAGTTTGAGAATTATTGACAGTACACACTCAACTCACCAGGGTTCCAACTTGGGACCTTCCGGTTGCATGGTAAGCTACATCATAGACCATTTAGCCACTGGGATCCGACCCGATTCAATGACCAGTGCATGAATTCTAACTTCTACCAATTCCTGATTTAGTGCGATCCCAACCAATGTCGTCGGTGGGACATCTATCCTCACACTTGACTGGATGGACGTCGCTGGTCACGACTTCTCAATAGAACTGACTCCAGGAAACTCTATCCTGTAGCAAGTCACTAGCCGAGCATCAGATTAAATTTCTATGGTTGGTTTGACATCAATCCATGATCGACTCGTAAAAACAAAACTAACCCTTACAAAATAAACTATAGAATCATCTCTGCTAAAACCTCAGTAGTTTGTTTGCTTTCATAATTTTTTTTTATTTTATTGTCGTCTGAAATATTCTTGAATTAATTTTGTTTTAATTATAAAAAACCACCCGATTCTTTATAAAGTTTTATGCCTTTTGTAAAAATATATGTACACGTCGTATATGCATGGATCTGGTATCAAGTGTCTCCGAATACCCATATCATCATTGGTGAAAGCTTCTGCTGCTGCTGCTTCCGCTGCTTCTTCTTCTTCGTCGTCGTCGCCGTCATCAACAACGACAACCGTGAATGAATCCACTGGTCAAAAAGTTTACAGTTTCACATCAAGATTACAGTCATTAGCAGATAAAAGGTGTGTGTAGTGCATTCCATGTTGTTCTTATGTTAATTATTATGAATGTAGTAAAAATGATATTTTAATGAATCGTGACCCGTACTGTCCACCAATGGATGTTGAATCACGTATTCAAGCTTTGACCGAGAAATTATTGAACCTAAAGTTATCTACGAATAATAATAATGAAAGCGCCGGTCGTCATCAATGGAAGGAGTATCGTTTTCAGGATAATGCTGAAAAATACAAAGTATGTTCACGTTGATTTTTTTGTTTTTTGTTTTTTTATTCATCAAATCATGGAAAATACCCCCTTCGGGACATTCAATTGAAAAGAACAAGAAGTTCAGCAAACTGATGTCTGTCTTTTCGGCGGTTTTATTCTCAAAAGCAGCTGTACAATCGCATTTATATATAAATAAGTTTACATGGATACAATTATTTTTTATTTAATTAATTCCACAAGCGTCGGTGGCCTAACGGTTAGGACGCTCGCTGACCATGCACATGGTCCGGGGTTCGATGCCCAGCCACAGACGCACTCCTTTGCCTCGCTAAGCCATAAATATGAGGCTGGTAAAGAGGAAAGGTTGAGCATGAGGCTAGCAACCCCATCCTGTAAAAATTAAACACTCCTACAAAAACTTCAAGCCACTTGCTTGAAGCCCTATGTTCCACTGGGGAACGTGAAGGAAAAAAAAATTCCACATAGTAACGAAGGTGATAATAATTTTCATCTTAATGTGAAAGTTTGAATGTACGAATGTAGATTACAAGGGGCTTACAGACAAAATTGCATAGGATTAGAAAAAACACTTACAACGTATGCAAAATTAATATTTGATAACTGGAGAAATAATAGTTTTAAAGGCGGATAAAAGGTGATAATTGTTTTCAACATTTTATATGAATTACAAAAGGCTTAGAGACAAAAGTTACTCAGGGATATAGAACGAATTACAGGTGTGTAGAAAATGAGCATGGAAACAAATTGAAATCAAAATTTCCAACTTGAAATGTTAGTTAGGAAGTGTGTGTGAATATAGATTACAAGAGGCATAGAAACAAAAAAAATTACTCAGGATTAGAATGTAATTGTAAAAATGGTTATTCTAAACGGATTACAAGTGTGATCAGGAGGAGTATGGAAACAAACTTAAAATAACTGATTTTATAACTGAAAACAGAAATGGGATGAATTGAATGAAGGCAAAGAGAGAAAATTACACACACAGAGAACAAATCAACAAAAAAAAACTGTAGGATAGGGGAACATACTGAACTAGATCCATGGTAGTTGTAAAGGCTGGACTAGTTTCTTTTGAACACATAGCTCCAGCTTTTCGATGCATATGGCGAGAGCTTCCACAGTACACATTCAGTTTAAAAAAAATAAATTCATACCCTTCTTGATTGGACACTAGTAACTAGTACGACTGCTGACTGGTGAAAGCCAATAAGCACGAAACCTACTAGGTCCAAGATGCTTCCCGTGTGGCCAATTGCCTCCAACTATCCAACTATCATCAAATTCATGCCTTTGTTTTTTAACGATGCAGAACAATTTATTATAAAAGGTGTTTTTGTATTTGAAAAAAGAGAAGATGTTCAGCGAAGAGACTCTTTTCGCCGGCGAATTCATTCACATAGCTGTACAATCGCATTTATATATAATTATTTGTGTGTGTGTACATAAGGTTTGTCAAGTTTAGATAATTAATCAGGTAATACAAGAATGATTTAATATAGAAACAAGGTTAGTTAGACAGCAACTAAAGTAAGATTGAGTTAGTTAGTAAGTTAGATGACGACGTAATATAATTGACTAAAATGTTTCAACTTAGGTCAGGGTAGCAACAGAGGTAATTACAAGTAGAGACTAAGTGGAGGTGGGGTAGAGAATAATGCCATTTAAATGAGAACTGAAATTGAGCGATTAAGTTGGATGACATAACATAAATGACTAGGAATTGATCGTTGGTCAAATCAGTAACAGTGGTAATCAGGTGTAGAAATTAAATTGGGTTGGGGTGGAGAACAAGAAGGTTGAAAAAAAGGTTGATTCAAAGATTCCATTTCTGGACGTGGAATTGACAAGAAGAGATGATGGAAGCCTGAAGAGGTCCATCCACAGAAAACCGACATGGAACGGCCAACTAACGAATTTGTATAGTTGGATACCTTTGAGTCGAAAACGAGTTCTCACCAGCGTAATAACTCATCGGATTACAAAAATCTGCAGCAGCAATTGGATGGAAGAGGAGCTCCTATCCCTCAAAAATATCCTGGCTCAAAATGGCTACCCGACACCTTTTGTCGAAAAGAACATGAAACCTAAACCAAAAAGAGAAGAATGCGATTCAGCGCCAAAGAAAACGCTATATTTAAATCTGAATTTCAAGGAAGATTTGGCAGTTGATATCCTAAAAAGCAGGATATCCAGCTCTTTAAAGAAGACCTTCCCTGCAGCAACAATAAGAGTGACATTCTCTAGCCGTCCAATACTTCGAAACAACACAAAGGACAAACTCTCGCATGTGACCAATTCAATGTGCATATACCAGTTCACTTGCTCGTGCGGAGCTAGGTACATAGGTCGTTGTACGCGCGTCCTTTCAAAACGTGTTTAGAGAACACACTACCCAGCGTGGCTGCTAAGAGGAGGCATCGGTTCAATCAGAAGTGCTATTATTGAACATCTGGTCAACACCTCCCACAACATCTCAACTGATTCTTTCAAAGTGATTTACAAAGTTAACAGAAACCTACCAAAAGCAGTAGGTTTCCGACTTTTTTGTACTGCAAAAGCCCTCGCAATATGCATCCAGAAGCCGGAGCTGTGTGCTCAAAAGAAATTAGTTCAACTTCTACAACTACCATGGGGGATCTAGTTTGGTATGTTCCTTTTGCTTCCGTTTTTTTTTCTTTCTTCTTCGTCCTGCTCTCTCTTTTCCTTTTGAGCATTTTTCGTTCGTCGTGTGTCTGATCCTTATTCCCTCAGTCTTCATTAAATTCACCTAATTTTTTTTTTCAGTTATAAAAACAGTTATTTTAAGTTTATTTCCATGCTTTTCCTGTTCCCATTTATAATTCGTTTAAAAATTAACTATTTTACAATTAGATCCTTAATCCTGTGCAATTTTTGTGTTTCTAAGTCTCTTGTAATCTATATTCACACACACACACACACACTTCCTAACTAACATTTCAAGTAGAAACAATTTTGATTTCAATTTGTTTCTATGCTCATTTGCTACACACCTGTAATTCGTTCTATATCCCTGAGTAATTTTTGTCTCTAAGCCTTTTGTAATTCATATCAAGTTGAAAATTATTATCACCTTCGTTACTATGTGGAATTAATTAAATAAATAATAATTGTATCCATGTAAACTAATTTATATATAAATACGATGGTACAACTGCTTTTGAGAATGAAATCGCCGAAAAGACAGACATCAGTGTGCTGAACTTCTTGTTCTCTTCTTTCTAATGTCCATATCGGTATTTTCCACGAACTGTAAATGTAAAATATTACAATTGTAAAGACAAATTAATGCTAATGAAGAGACAGAAAAGAAAAAAGGATTAGGTAGAATTTACTTGTCGGGTAATAAGATAGATTACGTCCATTGGAAGTGTAGTGATTGAACGAACTTCTTCTGTACACAAAGTTCAAGACTTAGCAAGTGAATCGCCATTGCTTCTACAGTTTGAAGAAGTCTGATTCGTACACCCTTAGGAAGACCTATTCCGTATTCTGTAGACGTATTCTATTTCCCGTGTAAAGTGGCATAATAAGGTGAGCAATATTGAAGTTAGGCGTCGAGTTCTAGGTAAACAGGGGAAATCAATCGACGAAGTCGTGAAGTTACAAAGACTGAGATGGTTAGGACATGTGTTACGTATGCCAAGCCATCGCCTCCCTCAACGAGCAATGTTAGCGGATATAGGGTCAGGCTGGAAAAAAGCTAGCGGCGGTCAAACAAAAATTTGGCACCAGTCAATGAAATCCACAACAGTTGGTCTAAGCCAGCCACGTAGGAAGGTGTAGACTTCCTGACTGGTTGGGGTCCTCGGGACGGCAAAAATCTATGGTTGGAAGCAATTGGTGACATGGCTCAAAACCGTTCTCAGTGGCCAGCGCAGATGCATCCACTCCTTGTGACTTATGATCTCCAATGAAACTGTTTTGTTCTTCGTTATTACTCCTCCTTTGTCTCACAGCTCTGCTTACTGTCTCTATTATGCATTTCTTCTACTTTCTTCTCTTGCTTCGCGTGCTACACGGAGTGTGGCGACTTGAACTTCCGCACATTTGTGCAAAGTTCTATGTCGAAAACAGACAGACAGACATTCTGTAGACGCCTTTGAAGTTTGTTTGGGGTGTAGCTTGGTTTTCGTATTTTCCAGTGGATGGAAAACAGAAGGATTATTGTTGTTATTGCTTTTACAGATGTTTCGCTATTTAATGCTGTTAATGGCTTTATCAAAATTATTATTATTTTATTCTTTTGCGTTCCCAGTGGAACGTAAGGGACTTCAAGCTGGAGCTTTGAAGTTTAGGTAATAGTGTAACGACAGAATACAAGGGTCAGGCAACAGATCGTTTGTTGAGGGAATCAAGAGATATTTATAGATTTTTTATGTACATTATTATTCGTTGTTATTAGCAGAGAAACAAAGTCTTCTGATTGGTTGTTCTCTGGCTGAAAGTTAATCTATCATCTCTTTATGGCCATATTTTTGAAAGTCAGGCTGTATATCTGCGAATGGTATCCGCCCACGCAGTCTGCTGTGATTGGTTGTTGAGTTAGTCTTTGTTTCTGTGTTTTTTCTCATGACCAAGATTTAGGACGTAAACATTGACGTAAATTGCTGTCTAGCAATTTTGGCTCGCAGACAGCTCTCACTACAATAGTACATGCTGAGAATTCCATATAGTGTCAAAAGTACTATTTGAAATGAAGCCATTATTATGATTATCATTATTATTTTCAAAAGAATGGCTGCTGAACAAAGAATACTCTTTTCGATGACCTCTTTTTCATCAGGCTCTACAGTTTAATGTACATTATAGTGAATGAATGAATGAGTTAGTGTTATGAACAACATTAATGTTGCTGTTTAAATAACATCGAATCAATAATAATAATAATAATACCAATGGATTACAGTTCAATAGTATCAACATAAAAATAGACTGAATGTCAAAATAAACATTAGGGAAGTTAACGATACAAATTAATGAATTTCTAGTCTTTACTGAAACCCGGCCAGGGCAGTAGTAATGGCTGGCTGGACTTGCTTCTTCTGCACACATAGAGCACCGGTTGTTTAACGCGGATCGTCATAGCCTCAGCTGTTTGGAGTATTCGGTACTTTGATGGTTTTGGCAATTTGTTTGGCACCTGGTAATTCATTCATTCACTATTATTATTATTACTATTGTATCCTTAAATTCGTAGAGGAATATAGGGCTTCAGCTGCGCATCTCCATTGCCTTCTGTTTTCTGCCAACTTTTTCACTCCGCTCCAAGTCTGCTCACATGCATCATCTCCTCCTCGCATGACCTCCTCCAAGTCACGCTTGCACTGACGACCAACTCGCCGCTTCCCTTCGAATCGGGTTACACTCGAGCGATGGCTTGTCTAGTGATGTCACTTGATGGATTCCTCAGAGTATGGCCAATCCACCTCCATTTCTTCCTGCCTATTTGTTTCACAATCGGTTCCTGGTTGGTTCGCTCATTGCCAGAGATCCCTGTTGATGATCTTTTCTGGCCGGCCATCTGATCTTAAGTATTGAGCGAAGACCACTGTTAATGAAGGTCTGAAGTTTGTTTGAGATGCTCTTCATGACTTGCCAAGTCTCTGATCCGTATAGAAGCACTGACTTCACATTGGAGTTGAAAATCCGGATCTTATTTTTGATGCTGAGTGCTGTTGACCTCCACACAGATTTGAGAGTAATGAAAGCTTGTCTTGCTTTTCCAATCCTTGCTTTGATGTCCTCGTCAGTTCCACCTGTAGTTGAGACGATGCTTCCCAGGAAGGTAGGTGAAGGAGGTTGTTTCTTTCAGGTTCCTCCCATTTATGCTGGCTGATTGTTGTTGTTGGTGTTGGACAGGAATCTTCATCACCTCTGTTTTCTCTAAGTTCACCTGAGGGGAGTCCTATCTTCTCTGGATGCTTCTTCTGCCAACTTGTTGCTTTACACTTGCATATCTTCCAGTTTGTGGGAAATCAGACATATATCATCGGCGAAGTCTAGATCCTCCAGGTTTTTTGTGTGGGTTCATTTTATGCCTGTTTCCTCATTGGCCGTTGTCTGTCGCATTATCCAACCTACTGCAATCAGGAAGACCATTGGCGATAGTGTAACAACAGAAGACAAGGGCCAGGCAACAGATCGTTTTATTATGAAAATCAACACGTATTTATACATATTTCACATACATTATTATAGACATCTGATTGGTTGTTTATCAGAAGTTAGGCAGACAAACGCAGGCTTCTGATTGGTTGTTTCGGGATTCCTCGACAAATAGAGTTCTCTATCTGCGAATCATATTTTGCCACGTTAACTTTGCTGTGATTGGTAGTTGAATCAGCCTTGTTCATATTTTCTCACGGCCTGCTCTCACCACAATAGTAGGCAGTCAGCTTGTCTCACTCCTGTCCTCACTTCGAAGGACTCCGTAAGTTTCCCGTTGTGGATTCTTATTTCTTTTCGAGGTCTGCGTTGTTTGTGGGAGCATAACGTGGTATAATTGACACTTTCCTTCCTTTGGAGTTGAATCTGGCAGTCATTAACCTGGACGAGATCGCCTCCCATTGCACATCAGGGCCTTTTGTTGCAGTTGGTGGCATCATCATAGCCACGCCCTCGATGTGCGTGTGGTTATCTTCTGGGTGACCGGAGTAGATCACTGACTCACCCGTTGACAATTTGGTGAGTCCATTCGCGTTCCATATAACTTATATATATAAAATTTTAACCAATGACGGTGATTTAGTGGATCAAATAATGATCGTAATCATAATAATAATAATAATAGTAATAATATTGTGGTAAATGTTTTGAACGAAGTTAAGGATTTAAGGTCAACCAACTCGATACCAACATCCAGTTTGAAAACTTCCTCCTACAAACGAAAGATTTAACCCCAACATCAGACGATGAAGTCGCTAGGTTCAAAACAACACTAGTCGACAGCTGTCAACAGTATAAAAACAATAGTCATTCTAGTAAGAGTTTACTGACTAAACAGCATCGAGAAGCCCTAAGAAAGTTAAGGAACGATGAAAGCATTATAATCAGTAGACCTGATAAAGGAGACGGAGTAGTATTGATGAATAAGTGTGATTATGTAGACAAAATGAATTCGCTTCTAAATGATGAAACGAAGTTCCAAAACCTTTTTAACCCAATAGATCTGGACGGAAAGGCTGAAAAGCAGTTAACCAACACGCTTAAGGAACTGAGAAAAAGCGGAATAATCTCAGAGGCAGCATATAACCGTCTTAAACCTACTGGAAGTAATACTTCACGTCTGTACGGTCTGCCCAAAATACATAAACCAGGACTTCCTCTTCGTCCAGTCCTGGATATGTCAAACTCTACCTACCATGGAGTGGCAAAGTGGCTAGGTGAACTCCTCCAACCATTACACAAGATGGTAGTAAATCATAGTGTTAAAGATGTTTTTGAATTTATTGCTAACGTGGATGATATTAATGTAAATGGAAAGCAAATGCTTTCCCTCGATGTAGCATCACTGTTTACCAATGTACCACTTATGGAGACTGTGGAATTCATATGCCAACAGATACTAGAAAAACAGATCGACATCGGAATACCGGTTAGTAGTCTGAAAGAGTTGCTTTTAAGATGTACTATGAATGTACATTTCATATTTAACAACCTTTACTACAGGCAAATCGACGGTATTGCCATGGGTTCTCCGTTGGGGCCAATTTTAGCAGATTTCTTTCTTGCCAAGATTGAAAATGGTCCATTGAAAAAAGTAATAGAAAAAGCTGATTCTTATTTTCGTTATGTTGATGATACCTTTATTATTCTTGATGTGAAAGCTGACAAGAATGAAATGTTAAAAAAGTTTAACGATGCACATCCATCGCTTATCTTCACTTGTGAAGAAGAATATGATGGTGGACTACATTTTCTTGACGTCCAATTGAGCAGAAGAGAGGATGGTTCACTAAAGAGAGATGTCTATAGAAAACCTACATCTGTAGGACAATATACACATTTCCTCAGTTATGTACCAATCCGTTACAAAATCAATTTGGTCAGATGCCTGACGAATAGAGCAAGACGCATCTGTACAGATGACTCTCTAGAGAATGAGCTAGGATACATCCAAAATACGTTAGTCCAAATGGGTTATCCTAGTAGATTTGTCAGGAGACACATGAATGCTAAGTACAATAAAGAGAAACCGATAACAGTTAAAAAGAAACAACTGTTCATCAAACTGCAATTTAATGGGGACGTGGCTAGTGAAGTCTTACATCAGAGATTATCGAGAGCGATAAAACGGACTTATACTGCCGCCACCCTCTGTTTGTCATTTTCCAGCCGGCCAATTTTGATTGCTCAAGTGAAAGATAAGTTACCTAGTTGTGCCACTTCCATGTGTATCTATAAATTTAGTTGCTCCTGTGGAGAAAGCTATATAGGCCGAACAACTAGACAGCTTAACAAACGCATTAATGAGCATCTTCCTTCATGGTTCGGAAAAGGTCAAATAAAGTCCATACGAAGTTCTATTTTGGCTCATTTGATTGATAGTGGTCACCAAGTGGACAAAAATAGTGCTTTCAAAGTTATTTACCGCATTCCATCAAGTCTTTCGAACGGAATCAGAACCCGTCTTTTACACTTAGCCGAAGCTATGGGAATTCGAGAGAACAATCCTAGTCTTTGTATACAAAAGAAATTTGTTCTACCTTTGTCTCTCCCTTGGCCTAGGTGAATTCTATTCAAAACCCTCCCACCCTTTCTTATCATCCCTCTCCTTCGTACTTTTATGATATTTATTTAAACTCTGATTATCGTTCCATTTGATTTGACCTAATTTATTTATTTATTGAATTGTCTACATATATGCATATACTAACTTTGTTATTCTTATCACCTATATAAGCCTTATTAACAATATTTTGTTATTATTATAATCATCGTTATTAACTTCGTTCAAAACATTTACCACATTATTATTACTATTATTATTATTTGTATTATTATGATTACTATTATTATTTGATCCACTAAATCACCGTCATTGGTTAAAATTTTATATATATAAGTCTATGTAAATTAGAGTAAAGCCTGAAGAAGATCTAATTGAAAACAATATTGTTCGCTTATATGTCTTGTTCTAATATTATAAATGGGAATATTTAAAGATTCCATATAACTGTAGAGCCTGATGAAGAAGAGCAGGCTATCGAAAAGAGTATTCTTTGTTCAGTATCTATTCTTTTGAAAACAACTTTAATGGGCATTTTTTAATCCACTATTATTATTATTAATTATTATTTAGATGTTTACCGCATGTATCAATGAATTCAAGCACAATATCGCTAACAGCTACCTTCATGAAATCAATACAGTTGGTGAATTAATTGATTACTTTTCAACACCAGTTGAAACACCTGATTTCTTGTATAAAATAACCAAAGATTCACAAGATGGCAGTATTGACTTGCCGGCTAATTTGAGCATCCAAGTTGAACCATTACGTTATAATCCAAATGAAGATACATTTTTTAAAGTTAACGCTTATCCTGGTCGTTCAACAATTGTTAGTGATTTAGCTGCCTCGAAAAAACATCCTAGTTATCGTGTTAGTCGGATGAAACGTCTTCGAATTGAATATGAAGATATGTAATCGTGACAACGTCATCCATCCAGTGTTGTATAGTTAAACTTGTAAATAAAACTTACTTTCAATGAAATATATTTACTCTGTTCTTAGTAAAGAATGCAGTTTATTTTTCTCCCTTGGTTTCGTATGAGAATGCATGAAAGAATGAATTTTCAGTGTTAGAACTTTGCAAAGTTTATCATGGAGTATTGGACTGCTGTTTCGTCCTGGTTTTAGACTTTTCAGCAGTACGATAGAGTACGATAGTGTAGCTCAGGTAAATGATTTTGATGTGGTTGTGTTCTCTGAGCTGGATAGTTGATTTGCAAAGCTTTCATCGCCCTACTAGGCAACATCTTCAGCACATACTTGAATTTGAATTAAAGTGAGCTTTTACATTTCTCCACGAGTTTATTAATCATCTCTCATGGTTGGTGATCTTGAACGTGATTGGTTGTTTTTGTGTGTTTTCACACCTTCTAGGCTACTTGTATTGGAACTGATTGTTTCTTTGACTTGAACTTTGACCCTCTGTGTGTGTTTGTGTGGTTTCTTTCTTATCGATTGATTAATTTTGTCTATCTCGATGTGTCTATTAATTGATGATTCACTTGAATGCCAAGCTTCTAAAAATTCTCTAGCATGCTTTTTATTTCACCTGTCTAATTTTCGAACGCTGGTTGTCCCAGTCGAATTGATATCCGTGGTTGTCTGTATGCAGCGAGTGATATGAGGCAGTGGATATCATGTCTTTTGACGGCTAGCTTATGATCGTGGATACGAAGACGAAGAGGATGTCCACTTTGGCCAATTTATTTTGTAGATGAATTTGGTTTTATCTTCTATCGCTGTTGAGTCTTTTGGTTTACATAGAACTGAATAAGGTGACTTTGTCGGTTTGTGTACGACGTCAATTCCTAAAGATATGAAGAGTCTTGTAGTGATTTCTGAGATATCCTTTACATATGGTAAAGCGATTTTCTTTGTGTTTTCCTTGGGGGCTTTTGGTTTGATTGGTTGGCTTGGTAGTATATGTCTTTTGATGAAATTCCGTGGATATCCATTCTTTTGGAAGACGTCCATGAAATATTTTTCTTCAATTTCCCGTAAGGTGGGAGTGCTGCAACGAGTCCTGACTGGCTATCTCGAATAGTGGGAGAGCATATCTCGAATAGTGTTTGTATGCAATTCCTTTTGTGTGTTATTGGGTTGTTGCTGTTGTAATTTAGGATTTGGTCTGTGTGAGTTGATTTCCTATAAACTTGAGTTTCTAACTCCCCTGTGGTTGTTCGCTTGACTAAGACGTCCAAAAATGGTATTTTGTTCTCGGATTCCTCTTCTCTTGTGAATTTGATGTCGTTGAAGACGTTGTTTATTAAGTTGTGAGTTTTATCTAACTCGTTTCGACGTACGTATCCAAATCTTGGGTTTGATCTTTGGTAGAATTATGTTTTCGAGTCTTTGCATCATTGCTTGTGCAATCAAACCTGATATTGGCGATCCTATGGGTGTTCCTTTGACTATTTCATATATTTGGCCGTTGAATTGGAAGTATGTTGTTAGGCAAAGGTTTATGCATTCCATCCAGCTTGTGTGTTGCATTTTTGATTGTTGTGGAAGGTGTTCGTCGTTGCTGAGTAATTGCTCCATGGTTTCTTTTGTTAGTTTTTGTCCGATAGAGGTTTATAATGCTGTGACGTCGATGGATATCATTATTTCTTGTTCATCTATTCAGTAGTACGCATCCATTACAGGGATTCGGACCAAAGATCTTTATGTTACAAGGCAAAGCTGGCTTGTAGACCATCCAGCCATTAGGATCTGACTCAATGACCAGCTCATGAATTCTAACTTCTATCAGTTCGTGGCTTTAGCGCCAAGTGTTTGTTCCAGTAGAGGGGCGTACTGTCGATGAGCGCCAAATTGCGACGAAAAGGCTATCCAGTACTCCGTAGTTGGTTTTCTATGGTTCTCCGACTGACAGTGGTTTATGATCAAAATTGAAACAATTGAAACGATACACAGGCGGTCAAAACCTTCATAGATTGATGTCATGTTTTGATTTGATCACCTCGTAAACTTTTCCAAAGTAATCGTATGTTTCAAATGAACTGTAGTAAAGATTTGACAGAATAGTTCTATAATATTTGGGCGCCGAGTGAGAAGTAGACATTTGTAAAAAATTATATTTGTAAAATCTCAGCGATATTGAAATGAGTAATTCCAACGTTTCGTTCGTCAATCTGGTCCGAACTTCTTCAGGGAAATTAATATCGCTGAGATTTTACAAATATAATTTTTTACAAATGTCTGCTCCTCACTCGGTGCCCAAATATTATAGAACTGTTCTGTCAAATCTTGACTACAGTTCATTTGATTTATTTTGTAATCGAATTAAATTAACAAAGAAACTATGTAGTTGGCACTCTCCGGTGTCTGCAACAGAATGCGTATCCTAAATTCGTAGCTGTCCAGTCACCTGACAACTTCAGTAGGTAGAATAAAGCAGCTCAATTTTCAGAAAGAAGACAAAGTAATAAGTTTGACGGGGTTGTTCGACTAAACTCTAATCCTAAACACCATAATTTTGAAAATACGTCTAATCATAAAATTCTAGATACTAACAGTTTGAACCGACATGAAGGTGTGATGTTAGATGACGCATAGGAAATCCTGATTAATAAATAAGAATGGATATGTATCACTAACTAATAATACTTGGTCAAAGTTTCCCGACTGTCTATATCTACTTATGGAGACGTTAAGACATTGTTTTACAACTGTTTATCCGCACAGACACACACACATACACACTGTGTTTAAAGTGTTTAACAAAGGTAGACCAATATTTGTAAGTCTAAGGTCAAATTTTGATCACAACTCGTACAATTTTGCTTATTATACTTGTTAATATTTGTTTTATGAATCATGATTGGACAAAGTTTTTAAAAACAAGAGATGTTCCTTTCACATAGATAAACCTGTTATGTTAATTTCGATGTTGATTTCCCTGAAGAAGTTCGGACCAGATTGACGAACGAAACGTTGGAATTACTCATTTCAATATCGCTGAGATTTTACAGATATAATTTTTTACAAATAATCTTATGTTTAATTTAATTTTATATTTTCCCATCGATTGATTGGACTGAAGTGCTCAGTCTGATCAGATTGACATGTTTGTCGGCTTCTTGTGCAGATGCCTCGATGAAGTCTGGGCATTTAATTAGACGTTAATTTGTGGATGGTGACTAGCAGTGGAATCCAGGATGCGCATTTCGTTCTATTTTGGACTCGTCAACCAGCTGGACATACCTGCATTTCCCAGTAGTGAGTGATGATGTTCTCATCACCGAGGCTCCAACTCAGTGCCCATAGTTTCAAACGCTAAAGCGTTACCGTCCACTAGACCACTTGGGCCACGAGAGCCAGCCACCTCTTGTGCAACAGGTCATATTAATTTAATTTAATTTTAGATTCTCCCGTCGACTGATTGGACCGAAGTACTCGGTCTCAGGTTGACATTTCTATGGGCTTCTTATGCGGATGCTTCGACGATGTCTGGGCATTTAAATTAGTCACTATCCACAAATTAGAATTCTAATCTTATGTTGACTAAGATTGCTTGACTGAGAAAGGCAGTGACATGGTGTGTGTGTGTGTGTGATACGTGTCCTAATCGTCTCAATTGGTGTGTAGCTTCACAACCTCGTCGACTGACTATTCATTGCTGTCCAACACTCACTATATTATACCACTTAACACGGAGGATAGAATGTAAACGTATGTAGAGTGGAAGACATACTGCTGCTTTCAATGTCCATGGTCTCACTCACATTCATAAAAGAGGACAAAGTATACTGTTGCGCAATACATGGTAGTATCACCTATACATTATATGTCACGTAAGTCAGTAAATGTCAGACGCGAGTGTTTGGTATTCGTGCTGAGATTCTGTCAGCAGTCAGTTCATTAGGCTTGGTTTTGATGAATGCACTGATAGATAGGATAAGGTGAGAGTTCTAAGGGATATCGGTATTGTGTGACATGGCTCAAAATCGTTGTCAATGGCCAGCGCAGATGTATTCAGTCTCTGTAATCTTTCATATTCCTTTCTACCATAACCCATTCTGTTTCACTCTTATACTTGTCAGACTGTATTGATTCTCTTCACTCATCTTCTTGTCTACCTCTGTGTGCTATTTGGAACGTGGCAACTCGAACTGCTGCACTTCGGTGCCAAGTTCTATGTTGAATCCAGACAGACAGACAGACTGTGAGTTTCAGCCTGATTTGAATACTTCCAAATCAATAAATGTCTGCATATCAGTTTGTGGTGAGAGCAGGCTGCTAGCCGATTGGTTGGCACTAATCTACGTTAAGGTCTAGGTCACTAATATGGGCCGTGAGAAAATATGAACAAGCCTGAGTCAACAACCAATCACAGCAAAGTTAACGTGGCAGAATATGATTCGCAGATAGAGAACTCTGTTTGTCAAGGAATCCCGAAACAACCAATCAGAAGCCTGCGTTTGTCTACCTAAACAACCAATCAGATGACTGCGCTTGTCTATAATAATGTTGTCTGAAATATGTATAAATACGTGTTGATTTTCATAATAAAACGATCTGTTGCCTGGCCCTTGTCTTCTGTTGTTACAAGTTTGAACTGTGTTGATTATTACTCATTCTAATCATCTTGATGCTATAGACACGTTGGCATTTAAGTAAAATATCAGTAGTATAGTTATGTCGAAAAGATAGAAATTGTGCTTAGAAGAGATGAACATTTTGTAGAGCCTGTATTCCACTATGGGGAAGGCTGATAGAACTCCATTGTAGATAAGATTTTATTTTGATAAAGTGTCCCACAGTGTTCGTTGTACAGGAATATTTGCTGATGACCACACTTCGAGCACAAACTATTGCCATTCATAATCATATAAAGTCACTCATTCACACAACTTTCTTGCTTTATTTATATACATGAGTGAAAATTGTTGCAATCAGACATTTGAACAAAAGTCAATATAAGATAATGTACATTCAACGATTGCACTGCATGCATTAACACACAATGAGGTGGTTGGGACAGTGTCAAAATTCTACAAAGTAACACAGGCAGGTGGAGATAAAGAGAGATTGATTACTCAATCCTGCCTGTTTCATCTACACTCAACACAACGCATGGAACAGAAATGACTCAATGCGAATACCAGAGATATGCATGAAAGATATTATTACCACCAGTCAGTCAGTCAGTCAAATCAGAGGAGGATAATAAATAATCTCAAAATTCTATTTCAATTCAATTCACATACATCATAACATTCTAACAAGTTACTTATTTATTTTGACTATAAAAACACTCGTCTTATTTCC